TTGTCTGAACAATAATCATTAGTGTGGGATTTTAGGACAGTAAAAAGCAGTTCATCATAGGACACATGGAAGAAAAAGAAGTCTTCAGGATTGAAAAATGTGATGTTTAATATCAGAAGTAGGAGAAAGATTATGAGATTAGTACAAGAAATGGTATATAGTAAAAATGTTCTTAGCAGACACTTCTGTATAGCAAACAATTATATAATTTAATAATATTGAGGTGTTCCACATATCAGACAGATGCTCTGTATAATGCTAACAGGCTTAATTTAAGTTATGATTGATAAATAAAAAAAACTAGAATAAGACATTTTTCAATATTATTTTGTTTTTCCAAGTCCTCTACCCTATTTGTTATACTGGTCAATTTTCTGCACAGATCAGCAACATTTGCGGTTATTAAGATCAATTTTATATTTCTACCAGATTTCTTACCCCTTTTGGTACCAATGAGCTTTCTTAGTCATCACCTCTTTCGCAATGATATGGAGCAAATGGAAACCAGGCATCTCCAGTACTTTCAATATATAGTCAAATGAATTTTTAGTGTATTAGAGTTTATCGAGGTGAGACCTGTTTTGTGTGCTTAAATATAATTAGGCACATACCTTGGGAGATGCAATCATTTTTTTACAAAATATCTTTTAAATTTTTCCAAAACTTTGTAGGGCTCAAAACCCTAAGCCTGGCCAGTGTAGTTAACCATTGCTCAACAGACTGACTTATAAACTTCTAGGTTACTTGCATAGGAAAAATTTCTGTTTCCTATGAAATTATGCCAAGCAGAATTTAGACCAAATTTTGCATGAATAAAAACAAAGACATTTTATTTTGTTTAATTGTTAGTTTATAGACATATGTGAACATTTGTGATTGTGTTAATTGCATGGGGCTACATTAAGTGATTATATTATATACAATTAATATTTTTTAATTTTTAAAAATATATTCTTTAATAAATTCAGTGGTTTTTAACTACATAAACAGAACAGTGTTTCGTTACAAGAGTGTTTAGATAGTTTTCATTAAAATATCCATTGATTCCTAGTACTGGATACATTGTTCGTAACAGTTATTTTCTATTTTTTTTTTGCCCTAAGGCACCTTTATTTATAATTTAATCTTTGCCCATTTTTGGTGCAGTATATAATAGTCAAATAAAATTTTGCACAGGTATAATCTCAAATTTGATTGTTTTTAATTTTTATTATGTCACTAATAAGTATTAATTTATGAATTTATATAAGTAGAATTTTATGAATTGAAAATCTATCACCCTTAGTAGAAGTATCACCCATAATAGGCTTCACAAGCTTCATGTTTTATTTTGTCATAGCTGAACATAGCTTGATCTATTAATGTAGCCAGACCTTTAATTTCCCTGCATAGTTCTGAAAAATTTTTAAAACTGTTCTTGATAAGATTGTTTGAAATTAAGCTCTATTAGAGCTATATCAATTGACCACTATTATGCTTGTGTTTTTAATTTTTCATGAAGATTGCCAAGTTAATTTAAAAGTGAATCTAAATGAAGTTCATTACTTATCCAAAGCCTTGATCGCCTTGAGCCGTTTCGGCCATGCGACGTCTAGCTGTCCAGTAAACTTCACCTTCAGTCCTGACTTTGGTTCTAACATCCTGCAGTCCGGTGCAAGTTAGTAGATGCAGAGCTGTCATGGATCCTTGTTGACAGGTCATTACTAACCCCTTTATTAGATTAGTCTGTTTTAGTTGGCCTATAAATTTATAAAGTATTTAAGAAAATAAACTTATATGTGAATTATTAATATACCAATTAACAACCTATGAAATAAGTTTAATTTTCAAGAAATGTAGTCATAAATTTCTATAACGTACACAAAACAAAAAAGTAATGGCTATGTAATGGAATATATATATATATATATATATATATATATATATATATATATATATATATATATATTTATATTTATTATTGAAATTTAAAACTGTATTAAATGATAAATACACCAGGTAAATATGAAACAAGTAACATGACATGTACAACATAAAGAGAAACTACCCATTGGTAGTACTCCAATTATATTTCTATATTAGAAGGTCCCAGGACTATCTTCTTTTCAGACGCCTTGGAGGGTTATCAGGAATATAAGTGGAAGTAAGGTTGGAAACAAGAGGTTTCGGATGGTTCAGAAGCTTATTATGGAAGGATAGGTATCTGGATTGAGCTAAATCGGAAAAATATGGTGCGTTAAGGTCGTTATGGATGATTTTATTTGTGACAAAGTAGGGAGCATTGAGAATTTCATGAAGGATCTTGGATTGTAGAGATTGGATACGAGAGGAATTTGATGGTTTAGTAGAGCCCCAAAGGTTGATCCCGTAAGTTCAATTAGGCCTTATTATATTAATATATATGAGTTTTTTGTAAATAGTTGGAAGTTTAGAGCGTTTGTCTAGTAAGTGCTGCAGTAGTCGAAAACTTCGGGTGGTTTCTATTTGTTTCAGTCTGGGGTTCCAAGTGAGTCGTTGGTCCATGTGGGTCCTAGGTATCAGATTTGTTCAACAGGGATAAGTGAGCTATTGTTAAAGGATACTGTAGGACAGGAAATCATAGGTTTAGGACGAAGAGTAAAGGTAATTTGATGGGGTTTATTTTAATCCTCCAGTTTGACACCATTTTTCAAGACTTGTGATGTGTGATTGAAAAGTTTCGGATGCAATAGATGGATCGTTATTAACTGATAGGATACACGTGTCATCAGCATAGTTAGTGATGACCGTGTTGGATTGGGTTAGGATGTCAGCTGCATAAACTGTAAAGGATAGGACCTAGGATACTACCTTGAGGAACACCGGCAAACTGAGTAAAAAGAGATGAATAAGTATTGTTATGATTTACTTTGAAGTATCTGTCAGTAAGGTAGGAACGGATAATGAGGAAGTATGTAGGTGGTAGGAATTTACGGAATTTGTACATCAGTCCCGGATGCCAGACTCTATCAAACACCTGTTCAATGTCGAGAAAAACTCCTATGCAGTACATGAAAATATTAAACTTATTAATAAAGAAAGAGAATGATTGAAATAATTTTTAATATGTGATAATAAATAATTATGAATGAACTAAATAGAAAGCTTTGTTATGTACACAAACAAAGGATATATAAGTTATGTAAATCAAATATTTAACTTATTATTAGAAAAGAAAAAGAACAATGTATCGTTAATAATGCTCGAGTATAGAACCTTATAAACCAGAGGGTTCTCAAACCCTTCAAGATTTGTTTAATAATAATAATAGTTTAGCAAATCCAAGGGTTTGATGCCAATACCGCCAACCGCTGTCTACATATTTCCATGCATCTAACATCATCCAAACCCAACTATGCCAGATTACTCTCAATGCAGTCTTCAGCAATCACAGACGCTTATTGCTCTATAATCCCAGTCAGTAAAGTGCATATTAAACTTTAAGGGATTATTTTGTTACGAGGCCCAACAAAAATGGCATCTTTACATGCTCATTTTATCTGTAAAATTATTAAAAATATAATTACCTAATTATATTTATCGCGTATGATTTAATATTATTAATTTGCCATTGACATTGTGTAACCACCTGAATTCTCTGGTTGGCTCCTCCTTCTTCGGTCTGATTATTCTATCAAATACTTTATTTTCAAAAACCTTAATATTTCGCTCACCATTTAATGTAAGCAGTCATATTTTGTATCAATGAAGAACCATAGGAAAGTTAATAGTTTTGAAAAGTTTATTTTTTATTTTCACTTATCTATACATGTAATATATAGTAAGGGAAAGTATAGCAATCACGAAAATTTTTGAATCTGAGATTTCAACGGAAATACACGTTTTGAGGTCCCCTGAGTCTAAATAACCCGCAAAATGGTCTGTGTGTGTGTGTTTGTATGTGATCAGTCTAGCTCAAAAACGAAAATTTGTATGATACTGATATTACTTATTTAAGATAGGTTTATGTCTTGGATGTGACAGCAACCTTTTCGTTAAAATTGACTAGCTGAAAGTGTCACTTTATATCAAGGGTTATACACATTTTTACAATTTTTTCAAAAACGGCTCTTAACACCGTTGTGCTCTAATTTTTTTTCTCTAATATTTGCCGTAAAGAAAATATTTGATCAATCTTCGAACAGTTCCATCTAAATCCAACAAGTCTGGAGGGCCCTTCTGATTGTTGGTCAGCAAGTACGTCAGACTTAGCCGGGAGGAACTTCCAAGGAATTTCCACCGACCATCCCCACATCTGCCACCCATGGGACGCTCCCCATACGCGGTAATATGAGCCCACGCGAGAGAATAGGCCTTCTAAGAATTCATAAATTAATACTTATTAGTAACTTATTAAAGATTAAAATCATTAAAATTTAAGATTATATGTGGGCTATTTGGATATTTTAAATAAAACTATTTAAACACTGTTCTGTTTATGTAGTTAAAAACCATTGACTTTATTAAAGAAAATATTTTCAAAAATTAACAAATTAGTAATTGTATGTAATATAACCACTTAATGTAGCCCCATGCAATGAACACAATCAGAAATGGTCATATAAGTTATGATTATTAATATGAGAAAGATTAAATCAATGTTAACAATGAGATTTTATAACTTTTATTGCAGGGTAACCTTACCAAAAACAATCAACATAATAATCGATCACATGTCAATATATCTTAAAAACACAAAACCATATTTTATATTATGCTAACTTATATGTTTGTAAACTAACAATCAAACAGAATAAAATCTTTCTGACTTTACTGTAAACATATAAATATGAGCAATTAACCTTTTCCTTTTATTAACAGTTGAAATACACTGAATTAAAATACAGCTTATTTTAACGTTTTACTATAAATATATTATTTACAATATGCTGTATTTTATTTACTATCTTTTAAGCATTTAATATTTTTATTATATGACATTATTGTTGATTTTATTATTAATTTTTTATTTTTTTGCATAGGCTTGTTCTATTACTCCACCTACTGTTATTGCTAGAGCTGGAAGAAGAAGGACAAGGGTTCCACCTAAACCTAATTATCCACTTAACCTTTGGAGTATTATGAAAAATTGCATTGGGAAGGAACTGACAAGGATTCCTATGCCAGTAAGCTTTCTAGTTAAAACCTATAGATTCAGCCACTACCAAGAATAGGACACTTAGATTTCTCCTGATGAATGTTAAGCTAATCTAAGCTATGTACTATGAGTAGTTTGCTTATGTTTATAAATAGATGACAAAATCCCTAAAGGTTCATTTTCATTATGAAACTAATTCTAAAAATGTGATATATTATTTTCCATTAAATGGTTATATTTAATATTTTTGTTTTGATTTTTTTCGGGTTCTTAAAAATTTCAGCTGATATAGTGCTTTGAGTTAATTTTGCTTAAGGAAGGAAAAATAAATAATTCAATGTTATTTGTTTTGTTTTCTGGTTTATAATAAAAAGGAAACAATTGTTAATTAATTTGTTTTCTCCAAATTATTAAAATGATATACTTGTGTCCCATTCTCTTATTAATTAGTTTATTTCAGGTTTTTAACTAAAAACAGGCAGTTTTTCTTTGTTATTATTTCAGGTCAACTTCTCCGAACCATTATCAATGCTTCAACGGTTAACAGAAGATTATGAATATGCTTGTGTCTTGGATTATGCTTCAAAATTGACTGATTCCTGTGAGCAACTTGCCTATGTTGCAGCATTTACTGTTTCCAGTTATGCTACTACTTCTAATCGAACTGGAAAACCTTTTAATCCTCTATTAGGTGAAACCTATGAATGTGATCGAATGGATGACTTAGGATGGAGAGCTATTTCTGAGCAGGTAATATTCTTTAACTAAAAATTTCTTTTAGTGGGGGAACATAATTATTGTTATTATCTGCAATCATAATTTATATTTTGATTTAGTTGGAATTCAATAAAAGTGTGTGAAATAGGTATTGCTGTATCTAAAATTCTTTGTTGTTAAAATGTATGTGTTGAGTGGAACAATGTGAGGTGAGAGGTAGTAGGTTACTCTAATACAGGTGTACGTACCGTGCTCTCCGTACAGAGGATCCTGATATATTTGACAAAGAGGAATTTTATACCAAACTGGATAGAGAAACCAGTAGAAGTCATGACATAGGAAGAGAAGTAATAATAATGCGAGACCTAAATACAAGGATTGGAAGAGATAATATAGGATTACATGGTACCATGGGGATTTATGGAGGGGAAGCAACTAAAAATATAATTGGACAGAGGCTATGAGTGCAATCGTAGTATTGGATAGCATGCAAGTCTATAATAGCGAAGGTTCCTGGTTCAAGACTGGTTCCACCATACTCCTTTTTGGGGGTGGGGTTGCCAAATGAGTTAACGTTTGTGCACAGCACCGCATTTCCCTGGAAATCTGGTACATAGATAACCCAAATAAAAATAGTCACAAGTTCGTGCCACAGGGCCGGGGGAGTCTTTTAAATCCCCGCCCTTTCCCTCTGGGCCGGGAAAACCCCGTATAGCCTTAAAGGTGAAGGGGAGGTTCCAAAAAAAAAAAAAAAAATGGACAGAGGCTCATTGAATTCTATATAGACTCTGATCTGTTTATAGGTAATACGTCTTATCACTCAAACATGTACATAAAAAGACATTTTCTGCACACGGAAGAAACACAAACAGCATTATTGACTATTTCATCTATAGTAAGAATATTAGATGCTATTTTACTGACATAAAAGTAATTAGAGGTGCAGACCTCAGCACAGACCACTTTTTTCTTGTTGCAGATAGCTGGATTGTTGGGACGATCAAGAGGAAACTCAAAACATACTACAGGAAGCGATACTACAGGATCCCTAATGAATCTTTCCAAGGTGGTACTAAGGAAAAGAACCTTATATGCAGTCTTGCTAGACCATTGACTCTTATCGATAGATCTCAAAAAGAATATAGATGAAATTTGGTCGCATATTAGATGCTGTATACTGAAGACTGCTTCAGAGATATGCAGTATGAATAAAATTAATATAAGGGAAAAAGGAATAGATTGGTTGAGTGATGAAGTTACATGTGATGTGGTGAACAACGAAGAGGACCTGGAAAGAATATATGACAAATATATCTCAGCAAAATTGGTCCTTCTGTGTTCATACGATGAATACCTCAAAGCACATTGTTAGGGAGACTAAGAAAAATTCTTGGGGAACAATTTTGAAGGGAACCAGACCATGATTATAGAGACAACATTAAAAAGTTAAGTTCTGACTAGAAAAAGCAACATCCTACAAGTAAGATGAGAACTTAACCATATCCATATATTGTACAAGGAGCTTGAAATTGTGAATGAGTTCTCCTACCTTGGATCTGTGATCAGGGGAAAAGGAAAAGACCAACCAAAAATACTCCACAATGTAGGAAAAGCAGTATATTCTATTCCATTAGCTACGCAATCATAGGAAAGAGAGAGGTCAATAAAGACGTTAAGCTACACATTTTCAAGGCCATATATATGCCCGTGTGTTGCACCTCTGACACTCTGACCCAGCTTTCACTGATTCTTCAGGATCCCACTTGCCTTCAGACTCTTCCAGTGCCCATTGCCCCAAGCTGTGAATGCTGTAGGAACTTTGCCTTCAGGTGCTGCGAATGGCAGGATTCCACTGAAAGGGATAATTTTCGCTATCTTTTTTGTGGTTTTGTCCTGATGTATGCGAAGTACCAGGGGAATCCTGATAATGGTGGCTGAGATCCACCAGTAGGAAAAAAATTTTTCTCTCCTTTCTGGCTTCATCCCGCTTCCTGTCTCCACTCTTGCCACCATCCCTGTCAGGGTAGTACAGGTCTGGAAAGTTCTCTGAGCTCCCATAATTTGGAGCTTTGTCTCTGATCCTTTCCAATACTGATTCTTCCTGTAAGGCCAGAGTATCTTCTCTGTTGCTCTTCTCTAAAACTTTGAAGGTAAAATGGTACCAGTCACACAGCCCACTTTTATGCCATGGTCTTTAAGACTATCAAGGCTGGAGTCTGGGATTCTGAAGATAACAAAGAATCTCTTGTCCATCTCCTTGAGATAGTGTAACTTCTGGTTACAAATACCACAAATACAAATATGATGGTGTTCTACAACCTTAAATGCTTCATAAGTGCTTCTTCCTAAGCACCCTCCCAGGAAAGAAGGCACCTATTTTGGAAGTTTTTGGAAATTCGTGAGCATCACCAGTCTGTAAGGTAATACCCTCTTCCAAGTTGATGCTTATAACTGTTTGAATGAGCCAAAAACATGTTTTATTATTTAGGCAAGAGATCATACACCTGCCCATTTTGTAGCTATATAATAACGGGTGGTGTTCACTATTTTCATTTACCTCATCTACCTTGTCAGTGATCAGTTCTTTTAACACTTCAACATGTTCATGGGTCAGCTGGATAGTTACCTGCGGATAGTTACTGGGAACTACTGCAACCAACTGATCTCTTAAGGCTGAGGCATAATTTCTTCCTTCAGCCTTTCTGGGCTGAGATACCAGGCAAAGCTCTGGGTCTTTTGTCCTGCTTAGGCAGACTCCAATTTTGGTTTAATAGAATAAAGTTCTTTATTATTGTATTATTTCATCTATAATCCCATCCTTCAACCAAATTCTACAGTTCATTCTATATTCAACAATATGTCCACCATTATTAATAATTATAATATTGTTAATTATTAATTTATATCCTCACCTTTTATGTAATTTAGTACTCCACTCACAGCAATGCAGTGGTGTAGATTTATTTGCAGCAGCCTCATCTGAAAAGGTTATTTGATTGACATATCGGGCAGACTCCCAGATGGAGACTGTGGCAGGCTTTCACCATCAGACCCAGCTTTCATTGAGTTTTTGGGACCTCCCCTGCCTCCACTTTCCTCCAGTGCTCATTGCCCAAAACTACGTACATTATAAGTAGTTGGGGATTGGTCTTGCGGCGATTCCACTGGCAGGATTCCGCTTGAGGAGACAGTTTTCACTGTCTTCCCTGGTTTCTTTCCTCCACCTAGTCCACCTTTGGACTTCACTCTCTGTACCATACTTGATCTTCCAGGGGCCAGATTCACGGTTGGCAAAGGTGGCTGGAATTTGCCAAGAGGAATATCGGTGGCCCCGGGAAATGGATTGTGATATTCTCACTCTGGTAAGTACGCGGCAGCAATCTCATGGTAGCTGTCAGGGGTTGGCAAAAAGGACCAAGATAGGCCCACTTCCCTGACTAGTTCCCTCCACCAGTACCAGTACCAGGTTGATAGTATGAAATTCCTTGTGAAATCAGTGATAACATTATAAAGAATATGTTCTATAGGTGCAGAGAGATAGTGTGTAACAGAGGATATTATATGATATTCCTATTTATTTTTGAGCAATATATTTTAATAATCACATTGTACTTTTATTTTTACTTCAATCCCTCATCTACGATCTTTTATTGCAAAGGGTTTCTTCTTGGGTGAGGATCTGTTTGGATAAACATCTTTAAAACTTTAGATCTATTGAATTGCACCAATACCTTAATCAACTATCTTTTTTGTCCTATCCTCTCTGTTAGTCCAGTTTTTCATTCCCTTTACTCACTACAGTTACTTCTTTCATTGCCTGCCTCTAGGTTTTTCCTTCAACTCGAGTACATTGAAAATATTTATTTATATTTTTATAAAAATATCTGATGGATTATTTGTAAAACATTTTTTTTTAAATTATAATAGTCTATATTTAAGATTTGTTTACAATAATTTGTTGAACTTAGGTATCACATCATCCCCCTATGGTGGCATTACACTGTGAAGGAAAAAATTGGAAATGTTGGCAGGAGTTTACTATGACATCAAAATTTAGGGGAAAATATCTCCAGCTTATCCCTTTAGGTACAGCCCATTTGATCTTTGATTCAGGTAATTTCCTTGATAATTTTATTAGACTTATGATGGTTCTCTGTTATTATTTTGTTATTTGTTACTTAATGTCTCTGTTTTTTTTGTTTTTTTTTTCAATCTGCATTTCTGAATATTCATTGGGGTTTAGCAATAAGAGAACTTTCAACTTCAGTTGTAAATTTTTTTAAAACTTAGTTTGTAAATGATATTATATTGCTGTTTTTGTAAGGCATCAAAGAATAAATACTCAGTCTAACTCTAGCAGCCGCCGAGTAAAGACACTATAACCTGCGTTAATTGATTTGTTTCGTTTTAATTTTATTTCAGTTTTTAGTTAATATTATTTATAATACGGATTTATTTAATAGTGATAAACTTAGAACTTTCATATTATTTTCGGTAACAATTTTTCAAGTAAAAATGCCCTTCTGGGGAGCAAAGTGAACATGGAAGACGAAGAAGAAACTTCTAGCACTTCAAAAAAAGATGGACAGACAAATTTAGCTCCGAAAAGAAGAAGAGGTGAGTCAACCTTATATAACATTCCTATTAAAAATAGTTACTCGGTTTTCTCCGATGAGGAAGAAGATGAAGAGATCTCTGTCCAAACTAATAAAAATCCTGACTTACAACAATTTCCCCCAATAGTAGTTAATTCCTCTTTCTCAAATCACAAGGAAATAATTACAAAACTTAAAAATTCAGTAAAAGATATAAATATCAAATACGGTGGAAATAAAACTATTTTTTATGTACATAATAATGAAGATTTCATAAACGTCAAAAATGAACTTAAATTACTTAATCATAACTTCCATACCTATACTCCTAAACATGAGATGAAGCCTAAAGTGGTATTAAAAGGCATGCCCCCGGACTATCCTATCGAAGACATTCAGGCCGATGTAAACAGACAAGGCTTAGAGATTTACAAAATGTTTCAAATGACTAAAAAACTAGATGGTCTTGAAAAAAAAGTACCATTATCAATCATTACACTAAATAATAAAGAACAATTGGTAAAACTTAATCGCATAAAATATTGTGATAATGTTGTTATATCATGGGAAAAATATGTGAGCAAAAAAGTATTGACTCAATGTTATTTATGCCAAGAATATAATCACGTAGCTCGAAACTGCTTCAAAAAACCCTGTTGCCTGAAGTGCTCCGAGGAACACTTATCAAGAGACTGCCCTAATATCATACGCAAAGACTTCGTTCCGAAGTGCAGCAACTGCAATGAAAGTCATTTCTCAAATTACGAAAAATGCCCACACTTCATACGAAACCAGCAATTGAAGCTCAGTAAGCAACGACCAACCATCCACCCTTCACAACGAATTCAATTAATGGAAATAACCCTTCTTATAATGAACCATCTATTATTGAATGTTTTAAAGAAGTTAAAAATATTTTTAAACTTTTTAACTTGAATAAAATAATCAATAAATTTAAAAATATTGTCTCTGAAGTAAAATCAGCAGCAGACAGTATGTCAAAAATATTTATTGTAATAGAAGGGTTATTATCATTAATTGATTAAGAGTCAAGAGTTTAAAATGCTTAAAATAGGCTTAAGATGCTATTTATGTAATATTTTCTTATCTATTATTTTAATATCACATATTGTATACTTTAACTACAACATTCCTCTGTGTACTCCTGACCTTAAAGTGAGTACAATCAAATGTAAATACACACCTACCATGAAAACAGTCAACACTTTCATATCAATTTCCGAACCTATGTATACTAAATTGCTATTGTTTATATTAAGCAAAACATGTCTTAATACTCAAACAAAAACAATACTACACCTTATATATCGTAAACTAAATCATTCTGATGACTTATTAATATTCACGTATTTTTACCCATATGTTTTGTTTCTTCCATTTATGTATTATTATTTTTTTTACTATTGTTTGTATATTAGAGATTACGTAATTTTTTTTTTTTATTCATAATGAACAACAGTAGACGACATTTAAAATTAATGATGTGGAATGCCCAAACACTTCGCCGAAATGATATAGAATTCAAACAATTTCTACATCAAAATCAACCTCATATAGTATCAGTAAGCGAAACTCGTTTATCTGCTCAAGACAGATTCTCGGTCCCTGGCTACACTGTTTACGGAAAGGACAGGAACAGAGCAGGCGGGGGGGTTATGATACTGGTGCGTTCAGATCTACCGCACGTTTACAGGCCGATTGATAATTTAAAATACGCGGAAGCGACTGCAATTCAATTTAAGGTCAAAAACAAAATTATTAACACAGTTGCAGTTTATATCCCACCGAATAAAATAAATACACATGACCTTAGAGTTATGTTTAATATCGGTAAACACACACTTTTTTTCGGGGACTTAATTTACAATGGAACTGCCATAATACGAATAAAAATGGAAAATTATTATTAAGTTTTATATCACGGAAAAATATAGAATTGCATGCTCCAAACGAGCCAACTTACATACCAACTCAGAAAAAATTCAAATCTAGCATTATTGATTTAGCCCTCACCAAAAATATTTCTGATGTTTCTCGGCTTATCTCGGTACCATGTCTCAGTTCGGATCATAACCCGGTGATCTTTCGATTGGAAAATAAAACCATAAAAACCAGCACGATCCCAAAATTCAATTTCAAATTGGCTGATAGGGAAAAATTCCGGAAAATCGTAGATAAAAATCTAGATATTAAACCAGTTATAAGAAATAACTCCGATATAGATTTGAACATCGATAAATTTATGGAGACTGTCAAAACTGGCATGATAAAATCAATTCCACTGGTATCCTGTCAATACAAACCCGACAACATACCTCCCCAACTACAATTTTTTATTTTTATAAAAAATAAATTCCGGAAAAAATACCAGCTCACCAGGAACATGAAGTATAAATGCCTCTTTAACAAATTAAATGCCTACGTAAAAACTCGTTTAAACAGTTGGAGGAACTTAAAGTGGCAGGAAACTCTTAGAGAACTGTCCCCTGGTAGTAAAAAATTTTGGAAAATACACAAAATTCTAACAAATCGTCCCCACCATATCCCTCCAATCAAACAATTTCGCCTATTCTAATATAGAGAAGGCAGAAGCTATGGCAAACTATTTCACATTAGCATCTAATATTTCGGCTGATCTAGGCACCAACAACCACAATCGAACTATCATTAAATCCGTAAAAAGCTTTCTCAAAGAACCAGTTCCAAATACATTCCCTTCAAAGAGGTGAAACAGGTTATAAAGCAGTTAAAAACTAAAAAATCGCCCGGTCCAGACTCTATACCTCCAATTGCCATTAAGAAATTAAGCAAAAAGGCTATTTTATTCCTAACAAAAACGTATAACTGTATGCTTCGCTTTAGATATTTTCTGACGGCTTGGAAAACAGCAAAAATCATAACAATTCCGAAGCCAAACAAAGATCCAGCAGATGTTCATAGTTACAGACCAATAAGTCTACTTAACATAATTTCAAAACTTTTTGAAAAACTACTTTTAAAAAGAATCCTGAGCCATATATCTCAAAACAGTTTGATATCTAACGAGCGATTCGGGTTCAGAAAACAGCACTCAACAGTAGCCCAACTAGCTAGACTGACCGACTATATTACCAAAGCGTTCAATGAAAAGAAGCACGTCGGTATGCTCCTCCTAGACATAGAAAAAGCTTTTGACACGGTATGGCATGAGGGTATTATCCATAAACTCATTTTATATAAATTCCCACCTTACATAATCCACCTCCTTCACTCATATCTCAACAATAGATCCTCTTGCATTACAATAAAGAATGACCATTCCTCAATCCATTTCCTATCTGCAGGTCTCCCTCAAGGCTCCTGTCTTTCTCCTACACTATTCAACCTATACATCTCAGACCTCCCTTCCATTCCTTCAATAGAATACTCCTTATATGCAGATGATACAGCTATTTACACCTCTTCTTGCAGAATCGATACTATAACTAACAGGTTACAATCCCAATTCATAAAACTCTGCAAGTATTTTGAAAAATGGAAAATAAAAATAAATGATAATAAGACTGAAGCAATTATTTTTACAAAAAGAAGACCACGCATAAACCACAATATACACATAAAAGAAGTACAGATTTCTTGGTCCAGTTCCGTGAAATATTTAGGCCTAGAACTTGATAGATCCCTAAATTTTACTCAACATATTAACAACAAGTTCAATAAAGCAAAAAACATGATCACCAAAATGTCACCATATTTTAATAGATATTCACAACTGAATACAAAAAATAAACTAATTTTATATAAAACAGTAATCCGCCCTTTAATCACTCATTCTGCCCCAGTATGGAGTTACACATGCGAGACTAATTACAAAAAACTCGAAGTAATTCAAAATATGTGTATGAGAATCATAAACAATTATCCACGTTATACCAAAGTATCTATTATGCTAGCAGAATTACAGCTTCCCACAATAAAAAAATATATTTATTTTAAAACACAAAGATTTTTTGAGCTAACACCAACGTCTGAAAACCCTATTATCCGAACAATAGGAAACTATGACAAAACATCTTTGAAACGGTATACACACAGACGGACTAAACACATACTACTAAACGTCTAAATCAATTAGTTTATTTGTGAAAATTTAACGATTTCTTATCAATCACCAGACAAGTAACAATAAACTCAATCACCCCAATCAACAAATTGTATTTATATGATGTGTGTGTGTATGTATATATGCGAGTATGTGTGTATATATCTGTATGTATATGTGTGTGTGTGTGTTGTGTGAGTAAGTATGTGTATGTGTGTGTGTGTGGATGTATACATATATATATGTATATATATATATATATATATATATATATATATATATATATATATTCCTTTTGCACATAAATTATATTTAGTTTTCTTGCACTTTTAATGATTGTAACATAATTTTTTTTTTCATTTATATCTTATGTAGGTTTTTATGAGATTTTTCCTACTGTAAAAAATTAATTTCAATTTTCGAAGCAGTATTCAAACCACTGTTATGTCAAGTGTAAGGTTACTACAACCATAAACTAGTAACTTATCTGTTTGACATGATGTAATATATAAAAAAAAAAAAATAAAAAAAATTAAAAAAAATAAAAAAAAGAATAAATACTAATTTAAAAATTAAATTAAGGATTAAGAAATTGTTATTAGATTTATTAATTGTGGGGTGATGGTTGACTGTAGTGAATAATGAAGAAAAGGATAGTTGGATGATCAGTCAAAATAAAAATGGCAAAAATAAGTAATAATATTTATTTTGCATTTGCCGACATTTGGACCCGAAGTTCAGACCTTCATCAGGGCTGGGCGAAGATCGCTATGGATAGAATGGATATCTATGGATTCTATTCATAGCAATCTCTTTGATCAGCCCGGATGAAGGCCTGAACTTTGGTTTGAAATGTCAGCAAATATTATAATAAATATTATTTATTTTTGCCATTTTTATTTTGACTGATCACCCCAATTATCCTTCTCTTCATTATTAGATTTATTGTTTGATATTAATTGTCATTTAGTTAAATCCATTCCCATCACTATTTAAATTTTTATCCCAAGAATATTATTTTCTTATTTATTTGTTTTATGTAAAAGATCTATTTATGAGATTCTCATGCTTAAAGCTCTTAAATATGCCTAAGTTGGGCCAAAATGTTGGTGTACATAAAATCTTTTGTTTAAAATGTGTTTTAATATGTATATTTTTACTGTTACCTCTCTCAAACATCATCCTTTAAGATTGTACTATCTTCACCTTTATTTTTTGTTTATATATATAATTTTTTTAAGGTAATCACTACACTTGGAGGAAAGTTACTACCACTGTGCATAACATCATTGTAGGAAAGTTATGGGTTGATCAACATGGGGATATGGATATCATTAACCATAAAGATGGATCTAAATGTCGTCTAACATATATACCATATAGTTATTTTAATAGAGAAGCACAGAGAAAGGTAATGAGTTCTATTTTGCTTATTATGAGTGAGTCTTTTTGGTTAGTTATTCTTGTGTCTTTTTAGTTTGGGGTACTGCACATAGGATTTTACAATGGATGTATGTAGGTTTAACTTTGGATGTATTTAATATCTTTGTTTTCGAAGCTAGATTTTTTATCTTTTTTTTTTAATGTTGCTGCGACAACTATGTTTTAAATATTTCACTCAAGTCCACATTTCAATAAACTAGAGTTTTATGAGATTGATAATTCACTTGATTATTACCTACTACAAACCTGCCCCTATCTTAAGAGAATTTGCAGAAGATCCATTATTCAATCAGTAGCATTTGTGTGCAAAGTATTTTTTTTCTGGGTGATTATTTGTTAATATTTTAGTTCCTTAACATTTAGGTATATTTAAATATCTTTTTTTTTTCTAATATAAAAACATTATTTTAGAAATTTCTTTTGTTTTAGGTAAAAGGATGTGTGATGGACAAAGATGGAAAAGTTAATTGGGTAATCAATGGAAACTGGGACAGTAAAATAGAAATAGCCCCTGTAGTTAGTGTTGAAGGAACCCCTGATAATCCTATTTATAAAACTGGGCCTTATACTGTTGCTTGGGAAAGGAGACTTCCTCCGTAAGTTTAAAAGATTATTAAGCCATTTATACTATTTATTTTTGATCCATGTGCATTTTCTTTTTATCTACAACTCTGTGATGAGTCTTGGCCTCCTTCCCCAGCTTCCTCCAGTCGTCTCTGTTCTGTGCAGCCATCATCCAGCTCCTGACTCCCAGGATATCCCTTGAATCTCTTGTCACACCGTTTGACCATCTTAGTTTTGGTCTCCCTCTTCTTCTTGTGCCATACAGAGGTTCTGTCAGGATCATATAAGGGATTGCTTCATTCTGCATCCTTGTCACGTGGCCAGCCCTTCTCAGTCTTCCAAGCTTCATCCTCAGAACGACATCTTGATCATTAAAAATTGAGTAAATTTTGGTATTTTTCAGTCTTCTCCAGTTTCCATGGATATGTCCTCTTCCAAATATTCTTCAAAGAATTTTTCTCTCAAAGATTAGGAGGTCTTGCTCAATTATTTTAGTTGTCGTCCATGTTTCTGATGTATAGAGCAGGACTGGGTGGATTAGTGTTTAGTAGAGTTGTAACTTGTTATATACAACAGATCTTTCTTTTCTCTTCCAAGGGTACTGGAATCCAGAAAAATCTCCCAAAATCTAAAAATAAGGGTGTACAATGCCGTGATTAAGCCAGTTCTGCTGTACGGTTGTGAAACCTGGGCTCTAACCAGCACACTAGAAGCAAGAATTGAGAGATTCGAAAGAAAAGTTCTACGTAGGATAACAGGACCTATATGGGACCAGAACCTTGATACATGGAGGAGAAGGAACAATAAAGAATTGCTAAAAGAAACCGGTCAGTCAATATCTCATGACACGAAGGCAAGGAGATTAAGATGGGCAGGGCATGTAGCTAGTAGCAATCCATCAGGACGCCTTAACACGACAATGAATGCCAGAGTAGTAGGCAAGAGGCCACGTATGAGGCCAAAAACCAGATGGATAGATAAAATAAACAAAGATACGGCTGAGCTTCATGCCACAAACTAGAAAGCAATAGCCCAAGATAGGCTGAGGTGGAGAAGACTGGTTCAGGCGGCCAAAGATCTGCAAGGTCCGTAGAGCCAACCGAAAAAAAAAAAATATATATATATGCATCAATCAATCAATCATAAGATTGTTCAGTCCATATACACACACACACATATATGTATGTATACATATGCAATGGAATATTCATACAGAAAATATATATTAATTGCATAAAAAAAATTTAAAAGTAGTTTATTGTCCATCCATAGTTATTCATGTTTTCCATCCCTAGAACCAGGGCATAAAAATCGACCTGATTACAGGCGAAGGTTTGATTGTAAATTATAAAAGTGTATGTTATTCTGAATAAAACGAACCTTGTCTGCCGTTCCAGAGCCTCTGCTTTAAAAAATGGCAGCTAAATTTATAGAATATTAGACCAGTAATTTTAGGATCAAAACGGAAAATCCATTGCAAAAATGTGAGAAAAGTTTTGATTTTTTTAACTTGTATATATAGATTTGGACATGTAAAAAACAAAATTGCTAATGTAGACCACTAACAGAAAACTTTATACAGCCAAAAAAGTCAGATTTTTTCATTACAACTCCTAAATGATCAAGAAAGCAAAAAATATATTTGTTAATAAATTAAAGAACGTTAAATTGGGTGTTGAACGAGTACATAAATCTTATAATATGGGTATGAGATAAAGTATAAAACCGCGATCAACCAATGCTGATTTTTACCATATTTGTCAAAATCTGATACGAATTACTATAAATGGCCCTGCATTTTGGAAATGAGTTTCTTAGGAGGAAAAACCCATAGAATCAAAGTTGTAGAGCATCAAATTTTGCGTCCAGTGACTAACCATCCCAATTTAACATTCTTTAATTTATTAACGAATATATTTTTTGCTTTGTTTGTCGTTTAGGAGTTATAGACAAAATTTTTTTACTTTTTAGCTGTAAAAAGTTTTCCCTTAGTGGTCCACATTAGCAATTATGTTTTTTACATGTCCAAATCTATATATACAAGTTTAAAAAATAAAAACTTTTCTCACATTTTTCGCAATGGATTTTCCGTCTCAATCCTTAAATTACTGGCCTAATACTCTTTAAATTTAGCCACCATTTTTTAAAGCAGTGGATCTGGAACGGCAGACAAGGTTCGTTTTACTCAGAATAACATACACTTTTGTAATTTACAATCAAACCTTCGCCTGTACAATCAAATTGATCGATTTTTGTCCCTGGATCCAGGGCTAATGGTAGAAGAGAAGGGTGGACTCTGACTTCAGCCTTTTAGGGACGATAAGGGAATAGTGGAGTATAAGGGACATCTATGGATAGATACCACTAATTGTGTTTAGAAGAACAAATGGTATCTAGCGTCGAGTGCTACCAAATCAGTCTGCTCTGAAATTCGTTCCTTAATTTTGATGGACCAACCTCCACCTTTTCGTTCAGCTGTTTTCGGTATGTTGAAGTTCAAGTTCTTCTCAACAGTGATCATAGTATTTCTTTTTTCTTGTTCTTCAATTAACTATTTTGTTGTGACTTTTGCTAAAATTGCTCTCTGAAATGAAATTTCTCAGTGGAAGCTCTCGATTTTGTCACATTTGTGGCTCCACATTTGACAGCTGCTTTAATCAATTTATAGTTGTTATAACGCTTCTGGTATGCTGTATGTACATCAATCTCAATCAAAACATTTCAAATATAAAGAAAGGAGATGGTCCGGGGTGGCGGTCATAAATAGGCTAAATAGTGGCAAAACTATTTTATTAAAAGCCGACTTTGCAGGTCTTCTTCAGGGAGGTATGTTCAGCTAGGAGTTTCACTTAGAACTGAAACTCAGTTCTATATTTCAAATATAGTTCATTATCCCTATTTTTCAAGGCAGCACTTGATGTTGATGCTTATAGGATTTTAACCACTTTTTCTTTCACCAACTCTTGTTTCATTAATCATTTAAACTTTCATATAACCTCATATAAAATACTTAAAACTCACTGATGATCTCTGCTCTGACATATTGAGAATTTCGAGTTTCAAAGTCACAAATAACTTATTTCAAATACACAATATTAATGAGTAAATCAGCCGTTTATTACCAGTCAGGCTTTGGCTTCAACTGAATTGAGGAGAGTTTTGAATGGTGCGATTAGCCTGTTTTATTTTTTTGGTTCCCCCTGGTTTAATAGGAAGATCATATGTAATAAATGGCTTAAGTCATCCTAGCTCACTTATTTGATCAATTCGCTTATAAATAAATTATATAAATAAACAATAATTGATATTGGGTTCCTTTTTATCGCCATCCCTATATCCTTATATCCTCTTCCTCCAAAATATTAAATTGAATTAAATGTTTACTTCATTAACTCATATAAGAAAGGTTATTGAAGATATAATCATGAAAATTAACTAACATTTTCAAGTTTTAATAATTTCATTAATTTTATTTAAAACTATTGTGTACACTTCATGTAAATGTTTGATAAATGCATTTTGAATTTCAATTTCATTCGTCTGGTTGTGAACAGTGATTTCCCTTCTCCCACCAAACTATTCATCCCCTCTTTCACTCTTTAAAAACGTTAAAATGAATAAATATTTACTTCACTGATTCATATCAGACAGTTTATTGATGATATAAAGACAATTCTATATGATCAAACATGAAAAATACCTTAAAATTACCAAGTTCGAAAAATTTCCTAAACTTTGAAAATCTGCATCTTGAAAATTACCAAAAATTTACTGAGCCTGTTTGGATCTAAAATTGTAGCATATTTAATCTAGTTTTAAAAATGTATAGATTGTTTTTTGTCGAAAACGTGCTTCTCCATGGTCAAAATAGAGAAATATTGAAAAAAGTGCGAAAACATAGCAGTTATTGGGGTATTCATAAGTGATCCAGTGGGTGAGGGGGGAAGGAGGGGTGGCGGCGCCGATGTTAAAAACTTTTTCCATCTCAGTCACATCTCGTACCTTCTATCTCCATTTGATAGTGTACAAGTGCTTTTACACAGATTTTAATCATAGGAATCGATCCTAATTGTATTAAGTGACCTACTAAATTTTCCTATCACCTAATTCTAATATTTAAGTTTTCATGAAAATAATTAAAGCAATTGCCAGGTTTTATTGTTTCAGAAGTATTAAGTAATAATGAGCTACTTCTTAAAATTGGTATTATTATCATCTTTGTCTGGTGACAAGAGGATTTTCATTTGCTCAATGATGGCTATTTCTGAAATTAAATATTTCACTCATCTTTAAGACCAGTGAGTAAGGAACTTTGCTCATATTTTTAAGGTCCTGTGTCAAGCCCGTCTGTGGCAGATAACACCATCCTACAAAAAAATTTGTTTTCGTGTATCTTTGATGGAAACTATTTATCTTAACTAATTTTGGTGTGAGAAACTCCAATTTTCTATCATAATCTTATATTAGCTACCGTTATGTAGATACGTATACCCAGTATCTAATACAAAAAATTAAGTTATTGGAAGTTATCATTTTCTAGGCTTTAAAAATGCTTTACTATTTGTGAAATACTTTTACAACCCACAAAACATTAAATTACAACTTCTCTCGGCAAGAACAGGGCTGTTGTAAAGTTTATTTAGAATGTTTCTTCTTTGATAGACGGTTGTACTGATGTTCATTACGTTCCAAAAGTCTGCGAGCATTGAAGTATCCCACCGACCTTTATATCTTCGTTCCATCAAGGATATATCTTGGTAAAATCGCTCACCATGTTCGTCACTTCCAAATCACAATTTTCAGGAAAGAAGTCCAAATGAGAGTGAAGAAAGTGAATCTTGAGTGACATGTTACAACCGAGATCTCTGTACTTCTCAAGGAGGGCTTGAACTAGAACAGCATAATTTTCCTCTCTTTTGTTACCAAAGAAACCATTAACTAAAGATGTAAATGCTTCCCATGCTGCTTTTTCTTTACCCTGACGAATGTCAAAAAATTCCCCACCATTAAAAAGCTCACGGATTTGTGAACCAACAAATACACCCTCTTTAATCTTAGCTTTACTTAAGCGAAGAAATTTTCCTCTCAACTACTTGAATACCTCTCCTGATTGGTCCATTCCTTTGACAAAATTTTTCATGAGCCCTAACTTTATATGCAGCCGATGTTCTGACAGTCCATTACTCACATAAGGAACAACAGTACTTAGTATATCCCTGTTCCATGCCTAGAAGAATTTCTACCATTCTTAGGTCCCCAGAGATTTTCCATTACTAGTTTGGATATTTGATGGATTTTAGAAGGGTTTCCATGTTGTGGTAAGTTTCCTTTATGTGGACAGCATGGCCAATAGGGATAGAGGGAAGTAAATTGTTATTGTGCAACAGAACTGTCTTGAAGGATAGCTTTAGATTTGATGAATCTATGAGCAGCCTCCATTCAGAAGGGTTTGTGATTGAGATTGAATGCTGTCATTAGACCTGGAACATCACAACAGGCAACAAGATTCTCATACTGTTTGAAAAAGGGGATCAATCTTTCTGACGATTCCTGTGCATTGTAATCTTTACACCAGGTTGTAAGAAGTTTCATTGCTTCAATCTTGAACACAAAAGTTTGCTTTCTTTTTGGGCAGATCCAGGTTCCGAATCAAGTCACTGAGTTCAGCTTTAGTCAGCCAGTGGGGTTTTCGTTCTTCTTGTTCGAAAGAAAATTCAGAATCATCTGATAGGATTTCTCCTAGGGGATCACTTCAGATTTCTTTTTTTGAGACATTCCATGATGAATTGGAAGGATCATGCAAAAGTAGCAGCTGTCATTGTGATTAGTAGACTCCCTCCACACCATGTGAACAGCAAAATACATTGAACAACCTTTTTTGTTCAACTGTTCTCAAAGGTTATGCTACATGTGATGCAGCAGATGTGGGGAGTCCACGGTTTATCTTGGTCACCAATCTTCACCCACTTACTTGTGGTATGATGTCTTGATCATCTGGGTGATAAGACATTATTGACTTCCAAATGTTACTTCCCCACAAATGTAACTAAAGTTGTCAGGACCATTCACACACTTCCTGGGCACTGTAATTTCACCTAAACTACTGTGTTATCACGTCAAGAGTAACTTGAAATGTAAACACTGCATACAACTGTCAGCAAATTAATTCTGTGATTCACAGCTAGTCGTTTCCCATCATTCACAGACAGAAATTGATCCTACCAACCCTGGAGGAGGAAATTTCCCCATATTAAGCAAAAAAGTAACTATATCTTTGAAACTAGAGTTTATGATTTTTATGTGGAGATTCAAATTTCTCAAACCATAAAACATGGAATGAGGCTGTTTTCAATTGAGATACAATATCAGTGTAGAGCAGTGTAATTATTATACTGTTATATCAGCTGTAAATCGATCCTGGGTTAAGGAGACCCTCTTGGGGCACACCCAGCTTCTATAAAATGGATATCATTAATTAAATAATTAATTTAGAAGAAAAACCTGGCAGTTGAGTGTGATCTTGGTAAAATCACCTTCTTGCACAACTGTGCACCAACTGTGGACCAAGAAACAATACTGCATTATCTTTTTAAGGTTATAATAAACCTTATGGATTTATTTCCTTGAATTGCCAAAAGTGGCATTAAGACAAAAACCTAATTTTCTGTTTGGAATCAGATGATGACTACATAAATTTTTTTGCAGTTCTTGAGATCTACTAATATCTCTTTAAATATTACATACACGTGTGTGTGTGTGTGTGTGTGTGTGTGTGTGTGTGTGTGTGTGTGTGTGTGTGTGTGTGTGTGTGTGTGTGTGTGTGTGTGTGTGTGTGTGTGTGTGTGTGTGTGTGTGGGTGGGTGCGTGCGTGCGTGCGTGCGTGTGTGTGTGTGTAAATTAAAGTATTTAATTGAATTAGTTTATGACAGAATGGCTTTTGAAATAAAAATAACACCAATTAAAACATATTGAAAAAATTAAAGATTAATGATGCTGGGCTGAAAAATTAAAAAACAACAGTGCTGTGCAAAAAATTAAAAACAATGGTGTTGGGCTGAAAAATATTGAAAAATAATTATGCTGGGTGTTATTTCCAGTGCATTATTCTATAGCTGTAAGTTCCCAAGGTGGGTGGTATAAGTTTCGGTTGGAGCATATGTTTTCAATAAAATAGGGAGCTCAGTTCTCTCTATGCAGACATCGACGTAGTCACGTATATTAAACTGGCCAGACTAAGGTGGGCAGGGCATGTGGCCAGAATGAGCACCCTTGAAATACCAAAAAAAATAATGATGGAGGAGCTGCACCTCGTAAGACGGGTAGGAAGGCCGAGGACGAGATGGTTGGACAACGTGGCCTATGATGCGAGAACCCTGCTTGGTGTGCGGAACTGGAGAGCTGCAGCAGAAGACAGAGCCAACTGGCGGAGGCTCTTGGAGGAGGCCCAGTCTCGGTGACGGGATGTTGTGCCATACATGAATGAATGAATGAAGTTCCCAAGGTGGGTGGTATAAGTTTCGGTTGGAGCATATGTTTTCTTTCTGAGAATCAGGTGATCCTACATCATTTCTTGGTATAAGTTGAAATTTATCCATCAACATATTAAATATTTTTGTAATTGATTTAAATCTTGAGTAATAACTATTTTCCATTGTTCCATTATTTCAAATTAGAAAAACTGATATTTTTTAAAAACAAAATTCCAGTTGGATTTGTGTTATTTAATGAAGTTAAACATTTAATTATAGCCCAGACTGTGAGAAGTATTATAATTTTACTGAATTGGCCTGTCAGTTAAATGAACCTGAAGAAGGAGTGGCCCCTACTGATTCTAGAAACCGTCCAGACCAGAGATTAATGGAAGAAGGAAAGTGGGATGAAGCCAATACAATCAAAGTACAATTAGAAGAAAAGCAAAGAGCTGCACGTAAGGAGAGGGAAGCATCTGAAATAGGAACAGGTAATAAAAATTATTCAATTATTGTATTGATTTTTCAAGAAAAGAAGAAAAATATATTGTGAACACGTTGTTAAAAAAAGTATGATTGAACAATTTTAGTGAAGTAAAATTGATTAAAACTTTATTACATGAAAATTGATAAAAATTAATTACATGATTACTACAGTATTCATAGATTTCATAAATGATTTAGTCTAAGATTATCTGAAATTTCAATTAACAGATTTAGCACATCTATCAGTTTTAAACTTTATTTTTTTATGGTCAGGTTCTTTACAAATGACAGTCTCTTTATAAATTATTTTATTTTTCTAATTTTACCTTAAAAAAATTAGAAAAGCTTTTGATGTACCTGCACCATCCATATTTATCTCTATTATAATACAAAATACATTAATTAATAACCTTAACAATTCAATTCTATTACATAATTTTTTAATTGCAATACAAAATAATGTCATGCCTAACTTTTTATCTTACCTTTTTCTATTTTAAAAATAAATGATTTGATCAGTATTCCTCATCTCATATTATTATATCTTAAATTAATTTTTGGTTAACATTTAAAAAAAAATAAAATTAGAAGTATTTTACTTACATTTTAGGGGACTATAAACGCCTCTACTTGATACTAAGTGCTGATCATTGACCATCTATATCACAGAAACATATAGTAATTTAAATTACCCAATGGCTTATTTCATTCTCCATTACTATATATATATATATATATATATATATATATATATATATATATATGTATATATAACAATTACTTCACTGTAAACTAGGCAAAATTTACTTAAAACAAGAATAGAGTTTGTCATTGTTAAAACCATTTAAAGAGGACTTCTGAACGGCTAAACTAAGCTAAGTTCAATTTAAAAAAAAAAACCATAAATTAATCACAATTTTTTTTTTTTTATACATCAACCTGCTATACTACAGATACCCCAAAACGAGAAAAACATTTTCGTTTAATAAGCATTAAGTACAGATTAATTAAGTTGATGTTTATTAGGCAAAAATTTTAGATTCATCTCAAGATGTGTAAAAAAAATTATGCGATTTTTTATCCTGTCATCTAAAAGTACCCAAGTTTTCATAAAAAAAAAAAAGACTAGAATTAAATATTGCAAAGTTATTATTTCTTGTTTTTTCATGATCTGAGATATATTATAATAAATATAATTGCCTAAATACACTTTTTATTTATAAAAAAAAAGGAGTACTTGTGAACAGTCTGGTCGGCAGTAAACCTCCCTTCTTATCTTATCTTAAGTCACTTACTTATCCTATCTTACATCACATAACCTGCCTTTTTATCTCTTATAAGCTGTTATGTGTGCATTATTGCATTGGTTACTTTTGTTCGATTTTTTATGGTTGAAATAGATTTTATTACATTGTGGGAATTGCCATCTTCTGAAGATGGCAATTCAATTATTTTCAAGACACCTGGGTAATTGCAAAGGTGAAATATTGTGAAGAAGGTCTTGAAATTAAGTACGGTGGAAACACAAAATGGAGATGCTTTCGTAGGACTTGTAACAAATACATACCTTTTAAAGAAAGGAACGTGGTTAGAGGGGCCGAAGATTACCTTTTCGACCGCTTTAAAATTATTTTGACAACAATACAGTGGGGCAAAGAGCAGCTGAAACTATCGAACAGATGTATCATAATGTGGAACAAATTTTTAAGAGAGGTTTGTGCCCGTAACATGTTATACAGGTCAACTAAGAAAATTGGAGGGCCTGGGAAAGTTGTTGAAGTAGACAAGAGTCGTTTTTCTAAAAGAAAAAATCATGTAGGGAGAGTTCTCCCTAAACAATGGATGTTTGGCGGAGTTTTTTGAGAAACAGACGACTGTTTCATTGTAAAAATAAAGGGCAAAAAGACAAGAACTTTATTAGAATGTATTAAAAATAATATAAAAGAGGGAAGCACCATTTATTCTGACTGTTGGAAAGGATACAACACCCAACAACTGAATGAAGCAAACTATCATCATTCACAGGTGAATCACCGGTGTAACTTTGTTGATCCATCATCAACTAAGATCAACTCAGCTACATCGAGGCTCAGCTAAGTGAAGAAATTAGAAACATCGAGGAACTGCGAGGCAACACCTCAATTCATATTTATGTTAATTTTTTGTGGCGGCGGGAGAAGAGGACCCATTCCTCGCTATTTTAAATAGCATTATGCTATTTTGTCTGTCAAAATAAAGATAAACATATATGCGTTATATGCATAAATTGAAAGTGTTTTATATGTATATATGTTGTGAAGTCAAAGTGCTTTGTTATTTATATTTCTTATTATTAAATTATAATATTATTATATTTATATTTCTTATTAATATATTTCTTTTTGATATATTATTATATTTGTTTTTGTCTATTTCAATTTCAAATCAAAGTTTTCTGTTATTATTACATTTGTTTTTGTGTTTTTGAATTTCATACGAAGATTGGGATTATCAGTGCCTTATCAGAATTTTCAGTGTTCAGGTTATAAACATTGGCAGATAGCAGTCCATGCCGACCAGACAGGTTACAAGTACGAAAAAAGGACTAAAAATAATGAATTTTCAGATATTTATCATCTTAAGTGATAATTAAACTGTGTTTTTTGCCTACCATCTCAATTATAGACATTGATCTGTATTTTTAAATGCCCAACTAAATGTTCCTAAGCATAACATTTATGTTTTCATGAAAATACTTGAAGCAATCAGGAGATTTATTTATGTTAAATGTAATTATTAGGATTGGAAACATTTAATTTGTCTCTTATAAATACAAATCACTATCTATAATAGAGATTTTGTTTAAAAACACAGTTTTATTGTCACATTAGATGATAAATATACGAAAATCCATTATTTTTAACTTTTTTTTAAATAAATAAAAGTATACTTATGCATTTATATTTATTATAATACATCCCAGATCATGAGAAAATAAAGAAATTCAAGCTTTTCATTGATTTTTTGTA